AATATAAGATTGTAAATACCATAATTGAAAAAGATTTTATTCTAGTTGAATAAGTTAAATCAGAATTTCTTATAAAATATTAATTGAATAATTATTCTGAAGATTATATATCTTCTGTAATCCATGAAAGTTATTAAATTGGTTTTTCAGCTGATTTAGCAAATTAAGCAATTTTGCTGGTCCAAGAATCAGTACAACAACCTTAATCTGAATCAAATTCATCAGAATGTAAACTCTTTTCTGATTAATATTGATCTTCTATCACATATGGCACAAATGTATTATTTATTTATTTTGAAATTATTGTTGTATTTCCACATAAAACATATTAAAAAGAAACTCTAAGATCTCCAACTGTTGATTAATTTTCAAATTAACATAAATAAACTTCACAATTTTTTATTTTTCTTTATAACTAGGTATATAATACATATGAGGAAATTCTTTTCCAAATTATTTGAATGCTGCTTATAATTATGTATCATCTGGAAGCAAATACTAAAAGTTAAAACATTATTCTTTCATTTATTCACATAATTTAAATTTTCCTAATCTTACATCTGGATTAATTTTTGCTGAAGATTCGACTAATAAAAGTTCTGGTTTATTTTAGTATTCAGAAGGAAATCCTTTACTACAAATCTAATCGGCTCTCCAGCATAATTCATATATATATGTTGATGGAGAGCATCTATTTTTAAACTCAATTTTTATAAATTATAGCTATTCCACGTGTCGTTTTAATTAAATACATGAAGCCAAAGATATTCCAAATTCATTATCTTCTAGAATTTAATCTGTAGTAGTTTATCCTAATAAAATTTCATATTTTATTACCTTGCATATGAATAAGTTCACCATTCAATTCTTGATCGATTTCATGACATTCTCCATTTTTACATATTTTTCTCATATTCACTAATCGATATTCTGTAATCGCTGATCTTCTTTCATTGTACCATAATAAAGCTGCTGAAAATATTAGAAAAACGGAGCCAAAAGTAGAATGAATTAATATTGAAACTAAACTTCCTGCATCACTGTTATTATCATCAACTACAAATTATTAGTTTTTTAAAGAGATCTCATTACATACTGCACTTACGACAAAAAATTGTAAATATTGCATTAAATTTATGATATAATTTTTAACAAAATCATATTGCTTATTAAGAAAACTCACATTAGAATATAAAATTACAATATTATTTTACAAGTCTAATAAAATTTGAGGTTAAAATTTTTCACACCAAAACGTTGAGAATGTTTATCAGGTTAAAAATCTATTTCTAATTTTTTTTTTACTTTTAAATTCTATCTGCAATTAAAATATTTTTTAATTCTTATTACTTTATTAAGTAGGCTTCAAATTGTATTCTTTCTAAACACAATTAATTAAAATAATTCAAATATTACATTATTAAATTTTGAGTAAAATTTACTTTCATTTAATTATGAAATTCAATATATTAATAATTATCTTATAATTATAGAGTCATAGATTTCATTATTAACAATTATTCTTTTAACAAAACTTGATATAAAGAAATTAAATGAGATACTAAAAGTTTATTTTATTATATCATTTTTATAATAAGATAATAAAAGCAAAAACAGAAATATATCGAGATAAACCATGGATATTATTTTGGATAGAAATCTAAAATTTTTTAAAAAAGCAAAAGAGGGTGTACATATAACTTTCACCCTTTTGTTTTTATAAAATTAAGAGAAAAATGAATATTTATTTTTATGAATTGAATTAGAAGGAAATAAGATATTTGTTTATCATATTTAATGCAATTTTGATATTGTAAGATGATTGGCGAAAATNATATATGTTGATGGAGAGCATCTATTTTTAAACTCAATTTTTATAAATTATAGCTATTCCACGTGTCGTTTTAATTAAATACATGAAGCCAAAGATATTCCAAATTCATTATCTTCTAGAATTTAATCTGTAGTAGTTTATCCTAATAAAATTTCATATTTTATTACCTTGCATATGAATAAGTTCACCATTCAATTCTTGATCGATTTCATGACATTCTCCATTTTTACATATTTTTCTCATATTCACTAATCGATATTCTGTAATCGCTGATCTTCTTTCATTGTACCATAATAAAGCTGCTGAAAATATTAGAAAAACGGAGCCAAAAGTAGAATGAATTAATATTGAAACTAAACTTCCTGCATCACTGTTATTATCATCAACTACAAATTATTAGTTTTTTAAAGAGATCTCATTACATACTGCACTTACGACAAAAAATTGTAAATATTGCATTAAATTTATGATATAATTTTTAACAAAATCATATTGCTTATTAAGAAAACTCACATTAGAATATAAAATTACAATATTATTTTACAAGTCTAATAAAATTTGAGGTTAAAATTTTTCACACCAAAACGTTGAGAATGTTTATCAGGTTAAAAATCTATTTCTAATTTTTTTTTTACTTTTAAATTCTATCTGCAATTAAAATATTTTTTAATTCTTATTACTTTATTAAGTAGGCTTCAAATTGTATTCTTTCTAAACACAATTAATTAAAATAATTCAAATATTACATTATTAAATTTTGAGTAAAATTTACTTTCATTTAATTATGAAATTCAATATATTAATAATTATCTTATAATTATAGAGTCATAGATTTCATTATTAACAATTATTCTTTTAACAAAACTTGATATAAAGAAATTAAATGAGATACTAAAAGTTTATTTTATTATATCATTTTTATAATAAGATAATAAAAGCAAAAACAGAAATATATCGAGATAAACCATGGATATTATTTTGGATAGAAATCTAAAATTTTTTAAAAAAGCAAAAGAGGGTGTACATATAACTTTCACCCTTTTGTTTTTATAAAATTAAGAGAAAAATGAATATTTATTTTTATGAATTGAATTAGAAGGAAATAAGATATTTGTTTATCATATTTAATGCAATTTTGATATTGTAAGATGATTGGCGAAAATTCATTTAAATTATTCTTATTTATAGATTTTTTCTTAATTTCATCAGATTATTAGACAAAATTTCTAAAATATATTCTTTTATAAATTCCCATATTTTAATACAATTAAAGAAGGGAAGCAAAAACTGAATATTGATTAATGAATATGAGAAATTTCAATAAAATGGAAGATTTTCATGAAATCAATTAATAATTGATATGGGGAACTTGTTCATAGGCAAGGTAAAAAATTCAAGATTTTAAATACGATAAATAACTAGATTTCCTTCTAAATATTAAATTAGACCAGAGCTTTGGTAATCATAGGATAAATTAAATTTAGATGTAAAATAAGGATCTTTGAATTTATTAGATTTTATAAAATAAGATTTTAATAGTTTTTAATATTTGGTTCAATATGATGCGTAATTATAAGCAATCCATATTATTAGAAAAAGAAATTCCTTTATATGTAATTAGTTATAATTATATAGAACAATCAACTAACGTGATTTTTATATGGATATTAATTAGAAATTTTATTTTGATTAAAGAATGTTATTAAAATGCAAATTATTAATACGGAATTAATTGGTCTGGTTATAGTATTGTAAATAATTTGTATGTAAAAGGGGATTTATATTAATTGATAAAAAATAAAATAAATTAATAAATATCATTGAGTTCTGGTTGATTTATCAAATTTGAGCAGCGCTTATAATATTTTCAATATTTTATTAACTATCTGCGATTATATTTATTTATTTAATCTAATTGAATGGTTTATATTAATTTTAAAGAACTTTAACATAAATTATTTTTTTCGATGGGTATCTGTTCTGGTAAACAGAGAGAAAATTTAACGACAGATGTTGATAACATTCCATTGTATACAAAAGGTTAATTAGGATTTGATATAATTGTTGAAAACATTAAAATAAAGATGGATGATATTGTATGATCTGTTATAATTATATAAAGTCAAATTGCAAAGTGAAAATGGCAATATCAGACTACTCAACTTTTGAAACTGAAATTGAGAAAGAAACTTAAGGATAATTTTATGTAAAATAATGAATAATTTTTAGTTTAAATATATACATAAGCTGTAATTTACAACGACTGAAGAGTAAATAAAATAAAAATTTGTTGTTGTTGATTTAGAGAATGAAAAGAATGAATAGATTTCATAATTTAAACTAAACTTATATTAAATAGCAACAGGACCATATCATTTTGATTATGAGTTCACTTAGATAGGATCTAGAAAAAATGGAAAAGTTAGTTTTGATTTTAAAATGGCTCAAATTCTTATTGTTCGATTTATTCCAAAATTAATTGATTTTACATTGAAGGAACCTTTAAATAAAAATGAATATTGTTTCTAATTAAGAATGCTTACATCATAATTGTAATTTCATTCTGAATTTTCATCTATATTTTAAAGCCATTTATTATAAAAAACAAACTAACTTTAATCTAATAAATAAATAATATGGAAGGATTCATAAGTAGAAATGGAAGTAGAAGTACCTTTAATAGAAATAACTTCATCTTCAATTTAAATTTCTTTATGGCATATAGGTAAAGATGGTAAAAAAGAAATAGAATGTGAAGCATATGTAAACTTAAATTATGCTCTAACTTAGAAATATGAATGTGTAATTATAAATTTTATTATGTTTAGATTATTAATAAAGGAATTAAATATTATAAAATATAATGGATCTAAAATAACAGAAGAGTTTGGAATCATGGAGTTTAAGAAGGAATGCTAAATTATCATCTAGAAATTATTTTACCATTTCATTTAAAATAATAAATTGTCGGAGTGAGAACTGACAAAGGAGTATCTTAAGGAACAAGAGTAATTAATTAATCTAAAGCATCTATAAAAGAAATATAACAATTAAGTTCAGCTGGATAAGGATTATTAGATACATAATATATAATATTAAGCAAAGTAAATAAATGATCTAATTTATCTTTAGTCAGAACCTGATTCATAATCAATTCAATAATAAAATGATTATATACTTTAAATCATTGATAATCTAAAATTAAGTCATAAATAATCAATTGTTTGTTTTGAATATAAAACTTAATAAGATCTCTTTAATTCATAAAAACTATTAATTGATTTAGCTATTAGATTATTAGAAACAGCAGATTAATAATAAGAACTATTAAGAGAATAATATTATACTATTCTTAAATTATTAATGAATAGAGGTGAATTAAGTTTATCTTAATTAGGATTCTCAGATTAAACACAAAAGACTAATGAAAAACTATTAAAATTTAAACTAGAAATTAGTCTAACTTATTAGATTTTTTTATAAAAAGGATTATCAATAACTTTAGAAAAACTAAAATAAAAATCATTAGCATAAAATGAAAGATCATTTGTAGAAAACTTTTTTGCTAATGCTTATTTCAGAGTTCCAGAATTTAGAAATAGAATTATTACTAGTGTTTAAAGGGCTGAAGATGAATAAATTCCAGAATGGAGATCTCTAACTAAATCAAGTGGAGGAGTCTCAAATTTAGAATTTAATGATATTTTTGATTGGAATAAACATTTTTATGAATATCTTGTGAAAGATCCAAAATATTATGCCAATAATCATAAAATGAATGAAACTATTAATTAGACTATGTGGCAAAAACGTTTAGGAAAAAGAGGAATTGCTTTCTTTTTATTTATAAAAGAATGGTGTGATTTATTAAATACTTACATAGTAAATAGCAAAAATGTTCCTTATCATTAATTACCAGGATACTTTTAGCTTGTTAAAGCTTTCTTTTTAGAATTAAAATAAAGAGAAATAAGAAATTATCCAGAAGCTTTAAAAATAGCATTATGTTCTATGCTAAGAAATACAAATTTATTAAATACAATTATCGTTATTTTATTCAGCAAAGTTAATTTATATGACTCTGAAAATGTAGTTCATTGTTTAGATTTACTTAATAAATGTCTTCAAAAAATAAGTTTTTATAATTTGTAAATGCCATCATTCTTGGATTAAAAATACTTTTTGAAAGGAATTAGAATTATATTATCTGAAAGTGAACATGCCTAAAGTATAGCAAAATGCTTAGAAATGATTTATTCAAATTACATATTATTTCCAGGTATGATTTATATTGAAATTTAAAGCTGATCTCAAAAAAGAATTGAATGATATGATCTTTGAAAATTTAGCTATGAAATTTTTTATCCATTGGTCATATAATGTTAGAGTAATATTTCAATGCTTCTTAATTTATCGAATCTTTCATTTGCATAAACCTATAAAAGATAGAGAATTTAATGAAGAGTATATATTATAAATATTTTAGAGATCTCATTGAAAAATATTAACAATAATTAAAACCTAAAAAATAACACAGTTACTTTGATTAAAGAAACTCTTCCAAATAGATTATTGTAAATTATATAATTTAATCAATTAGTCAGAATATATTTACTTAAAATATATTAGATTTATGTAACAGTTAGAAGAGGGAAGACATTTATCTAAATAAAAAATAAGTTATTATAATTTGGAAAACAATAAGATTGATGATCTTAAAAATAAACTCAAAAAATTATAGACTAAAATTTAAAATAGATAAAAAAATGATAGTTTTGTGTAACATTCATTTAAAGTTATATCAGATAATTAATATGATGATACTATTTTACCAATTCAAACTACAGAATAAAACTAAGAAAGATCGGCTATAAATAAAGGGTAATTACCTAAATAAAAAATTGTATTATCAGAAGCTTAATTGAAATATTTAATTAAAGCATGTTCGGAATACGATGATTAAATAGTATAATATTAAAAATGGAGATAAGCTAATATTCCTGATAATTATAATACTTTAACAGAAGAATGTAAATTACTTATAATATAATAAAAGAAATATTACCTGTTATTGAGTCTTTCGTCGTACCTGTAGTGAGAATTCTAGAAATTTAAGATGAAAATGAAGGGAATCTTACACAGAAAGATGATTGGTGATCTTTATATTATTTAATTCAGTATGTTCTATTAATTAACAATTTCTAAAAATTTGTGATTTTTTTACTTCTTTTTTTTTTTTTGGTCTATTTTAGATAAATAAAATTTATTATTTGATTTATTTATGTTCTTTAATTTCAAACTTTACAGTTATCTCGTTAAAACGACTTTAAATCTAAATTTCATTTTTATAATAGTTTATTAAAAATCTAGAAACAATTTTTTCATAATTTTTATTTAATTTATCTAGATTCTATATCTTAAAATAAGAGATAAAATTAAGTTAACAAGATTGATAATCAATTACTATTTAATTTAAAAATTTTACTTAAACTTAATATTTACTTTTTTCATAAACTTAATTCTGGAACAGAATTTAATTATTAAATATCTATTAGAAGTATATTAAGTAGAAATAATTAATATAATTAAGGATATTCTATTATTTTAATAGCTGCCATTTTTGATTTGGCAAACAGTAATTTGATACATTTCTCAATTCGTTATTAGTTTAATTATTTAACTTTAATTATAGTTGATATTGGTTTTAAATTGTATATTTAATATTTTCGACTTTGAAAATGTTTTATTATCTTTTTGAACTTGAATAGAATATGCGATTATAATTAGAGTTTTAATATTTTTAAGCTGATAGTGCTAAGAGAAAATTCAATTTAGAAATCTTTCAAATCTCTTATCTTTCTATTTTTTAATTTTATAGTTAAACTAATAGTGGATTCTTTTAAATAAATAATTTTCAATTTAAGCTTCTAAATTAATTTTAGGTTGTATTGAATTAGGAATAACTGAGTAGTTTTAGTATCATGATTATCCGATGAATTTGTATGAATGAATGATGATAAATTTTGCAAGATAATTAAGATAAGTAGAAAGTTTAATTTTGATTATTCCAGTTTCTTGTAAGTTTAGTTATTATTTATTAAATTTGCTTACCATTTATTTCAGTATTGTTTGAATTCGTTCATTTTAAATAATAGAATAGAAGAATAAAATTTGGATAGAATTTATATAAGCAATTATGACAAATTTTAATTGTTATACTTTTGAAAAGAGTATAGATATAAAGTTTGAGTATTTCAATGGACTAAATAGTAAGTTTTTTCATTTGTGAATAATTTATAAAATAAATTCAAAATAAAAATTTTTAAATTTTTTGTAAAATTTCGATTTGAAATATTAAAAAAATTTTACACTTAAAATCAGTTATTATTAAAAATGGTAAAAAATAGTTATCATTTGAATTAAATTTGAAAAGTTCATTCAAAATAATTAAAGTTGATAATAATTTAGATTATTTAAGTTTGTTTTTATTCTATTAGATGATAAAAAGTAATAAAATTTGAATTTGAAATTAAAAAGCTGGAACTATGATTGGAATGAAATTATTGAATAATGTATAGTCATAGAATAGTGTTTGTTAATTTTAATGGATTAATTGTTCAGTATATAATAAATAATTTGCTACTTATTTGTAATTGGTATAATTTGGTACATATTAGAATGAGGAGTAAATTTGAAGCATTATATAAGTGAATCTTTTCTTTGCGCATAAGAATGCTAGATAAATAGGTTTTTTAAAGTCAAACAATGTGATTTAAATTAATTTAAATATCTTTATGATTAAATAAATAAATTAATGAGTGCATATTCAGAGGAACATAATAGGTAAAGGATATTAAATTAATTGATTTGAAGGGAGAATTCAAATGAGCCGTAAAGGAAACAAGAGAATAACAAGAAAGTTTAAGAATATCCAGAGGAATGGCCTATGAATCCATCTCCACGATGTACTCCTATGCAATATTAATAATTCTTTCCTCATATTCCTCCTCCTTTTGATCTTGAAAACAAAGGTATGACGGGGATTTAATCAGGCTACACTGACTATGATGTTTAGAAATATTTAAATAGTGAGAAAAAGGGTTAAAGTAGCTATGCTTTTAGAAAACATTCATTAGGTGAAGTTCCATAAATAGATCATATTGAGGATGACCCTCATAGAAATGGCTATCCATTTGGTTATTATTAAATGAAATATCCACCACCACCACCACCATAAGCTATGATGATGAAATATCCATCTAATTAATAGTTTATGGTTCAACAATGGTATCAACCGAGACCTCCATAATAAATGATGCCACCATATTGTTATTATCCACCTTTGTATGACGGTCTTCAATGTTAGAATACTGTTTCAAAAGAACTTCAATCTAAAGTCTATTAATTAGTCTCATATCAAAAAGTTTCTGATTTTTAGTGCAACTGTAAAAAAAGTAAATGCCTCAAACTTTATTGTGAATGTTTTGCCAATAATGGGGTATGATATAACTTCCTAAATTTATACAAAAAGGTATGTTCATAGAGTTGTAATTGCCAAGATTGTAAAAATAGAATTGATAATCCTTAAGAAAGATCAAAAGCCATTGAAGAAGCCTTGTTAAGAAATGCTGATTCTTTTGCCTAATGTTTTTCTACTAAAACACCACCTTAATTTGTTTAATAAGGTATTCTTTAATTACATCTAAGATAAACCAATTAAAGAACCAACTAAAGATAATTCTACTCTTATACGTAAAGGATGCAATTGTAAGAAATCTGGATGCAAAAAAAAATATTGTGAATGTTATAGTCAAAATAATAAATGTAATGATCTTTGTAAATGTGAACATTGTTTAAATAAAACTGATGCTGACATACAATCTTAATTAGAATAAGGTTAAGAATGTTTATAAAATAAAAGCAATTCTAAATTAAAAAAAGTTAAACTTGAAAAAAATGATGAAGCTAGTAATTCCCCACTTGTCTAATTAGAAATTAATCTAAAAAAAAACAATTAGCATAAAATAAAAAAATAAGAGAATAATTGAATATCTATAATTTCATTAATTATTATTATTATTATAAATATCATAATAAAGAGTGTAGAGTCAATATTTCATATACTTTTCAGCATCATACACTAAAATTCCAGTCAATCTTGAATTCATCAACGTATTTAAATATGCCTAAATAAAAACTTACTTATTACCATATTATCTATAATTATTAAATCTTCTTCTTAGTATGTCACTTAAAATAGTATTTTATATTATTTCTTCTCACAATACACTTTTATATCTATCAATTCAAATTGACTCGAATATTTGTTTATATCACTTAATGAATAAATCCTAATATTTTAATTGTATATCTAATTTGGATTATAGTATATAAATCCTATATTTGAAATATTTTATTACTACTTAACATTCAAACCAAATAATCTAGTATTTATATTAATCGTACTTCCATCCATATTATAATGAATATTAACTGTCTGCTCTTGTTTCCTCCTTAAATTCTCTATTATTCCAAGAATCAATATCACTTAATTCACATCCAATATACTTGATCAATGACTATGTCTTACAAGATACAAATCCAAGTTTCAAATTCAAAGATGTATTTATATGTGATATTATTGCACTCCGATTTTATTAACTCTTTCTAATTATTAAAGATAATATCAAATTTTGATTTTACTAACAAATAGATAAATATTAAATCTATAATTAATAGTATATCTATTTTTTACATCACTTCCTATTATTTATTTTATTTCATTAAGAAATCTCATCAATTCTTGATTTGAATTTGTCAACTATTTATATTAAACAATTTATTAAGTGAATTCAAGACTATATATCTGTATATGTTAAGTAGCCAAAATTATTGGAAATAAACTTATATCAACGAATACTAATAAAATAATTAATCAAATTCATACATTTATTATAATGCAATTATGTTGAATTTAGTGTATAATCATTCTAAAGTATTAATTCTAATTTACTAAATTTAATTGCTTCCCTAATTATATGAAAGATTCCATATTCATTTATAAACTTTTCAGAGATTAGTAAATTTTATAGAAAACTATCTTATGATCTTGTTAAAATATCTTTAAATTCTTCTTGATGTTCTATTGTAAAATGATAATCATTAGCAACTTTGTAAAGTAGATCCTAAAATTCATTATTTTCATTCAAATGTAATAGAACCATAGTGCGTTCATTAATATTTTTCAAGCATTTATATTTAGGGTTCGTGTAAATTGTATAACAAATATGACTATCATCTTCTTCATATAAATCTTATGAGATTTCTTTTCTTTGAACAACTGTTCCTCCTTTAACACTCATTGATGGATCTCTCATGTCAATAGTAAGTCTCTCAAGTTTAACCGATTAATTTTCTTCATAATAAAACTTACATACTTAGTTCATTTTCTATATATTTAGATATAATTGAAATATCTCTGCTTGAATAACGTTTTTTATTCAAATCAATTGAATTTTATGCAACATCTATTTTAGTTTATTTTTGTTCTTTGTTTTCTTCTTCTGGTTAGAATGAGTTCTCCTATTACTAATCTATTAAATTTTAGAAATCATGTTAATTTTCTATCACTTATTAAGGTTATTAAGGGTGCTATTTTGAGCAAGGGATTCCCATAAAAATTATTAAAATTTATGGAAATATTTGAACCATTCCAATTACACAAGAATATAAAATACATAATAAATAGCATTTTTCTTATTGTCATAACAAATCTTTAGTAAAATAATTCCTATTTTTCTAATAAATATTCTAAAAATCTATCTTTCAACTACAAAAGTCAAACACCTTAATTATAACTTATTTAACAAATCTTCACATTAATTATAAATTTATCTTTGCATGATTCACGTTTTTAATTATCAAAGGCAAAATTGGTTCGATTATAAATTTTGATTTAAAATTCAAAATTAACTTTATATAAAATAGTTTACTTATTATTTAAAGAACTTTATCTTTAAATAGTGATAGATTTAAAAATTTATATATTGAAATCAAACTCAATCGATAACTTTCTTTAGTATTCTTTTATTCTATTCTGGAATGATGAGTTTGCGGACTTTTAAATATTGATGATTAGGATCTAGAATTTCATTTTTAATTAATTTATTTCATGAAGTATTTTATCGTTTTTCTGATAATGTTGATCATTGTAAATTGTTAAGCATAGTCTTTAGAATTGACTATAAGATAACGGTATTAGAAGAAGTAAATAGTCAATTTAATTGCATTTACATAAAATTAGTATTAAATCCGACTATCACAGCAAGATAAATATGATTTTGCTGAGCATTAAAATAAAATATAAAATGGTGAAATGCTTGAAAATATAGAATATTAGAGAATCAAAGTGAAGAAAATTGTTAAAAAGAAAAGATTTATCCTTAAACCTGTACCAATTCCATTAAATTAGAAAGAAATACATGGAAAAAAGAGAAAGGTCTATAAAAATATTTTAAAGTGCAAAAAGATTATACAGGATTGAAAATTTCATTATCATTAAAACAAATTTCTAATTTTTAATGAACACTCAAAGAAATTATGCTAACTTGATTTCTTTAATATTTAATTTCTTTTCCTTATTAAATCGAAAACTAAATTGTCTTAAATTTTATCTATAGCTAGTTACAAATTAAGGTAATTAATTAGCATGTATAATTTTGAAATATTTAATTCAGTTTATCAAATTTTTATCATTCGTTTATAATAAGTTTATTTTTTTTTAATCTAAAATTTATAATGGAAAAGATATATATTTTAATTTTTCATTAAATAATATATTAACTGGTATGTTCATTTTCCAAAAACACAAGTTATAGCTAATATATTTAAAATTAAGATTGGTTTGATTAATTTATTTAATTTTCTTGGTCTATTATTATAAAATAGAATATATTATAACATAATAAATATAGAAATCAAATAAGTGAAAAAAAAACAGTTTAGTTGATTATATAAATTTTGATATAATAAGACAGAAAAGATGTATTTTATTTTAACGAATTCAAATATACTAAACACATCTCCTCATATAAGATTGTATAATCTATATACTATATAAATAAAGTCAATTATTGAAATAAAAAAATATTCATATAGTATAGATACAAAGTTTTCTGTCAGAAATTTGTTTTCTTATAATAGTATCAAAGAGAATAGACTAAATTCAGATATCCAAAGAGTTAGATTTTGTTAGAATAAATGTTACAAACTTGATATTTAAATTTATGGAAGATAATTAAAAAGCAAATTAGATTGAATGAAAATAAGGGTAAATAATTAAGTTATGTAAGATGATAAGACAGAGTTCACATTAAATGAAAATGAAATACTTAATTAAGATCTGGATAAATTATAAAAAGGATAAGTTTAAAATAATACAGAATGTGAATTATTGAGATTAAAATATGAATAATAACTGGGTAGTGAGGTATAATTTATACAAAATTTAGTAATAAAATAATAGTTAAAGTTTAAAATGAATTAGATTTGAAAAAATTTAATAATGAATTAAAATTATTTGAGGAGAAAAAAAATCTTCTGGAAAATGAGAGATTTTAAGAGATTGAAATGAATAAGGCAAATATTCTAAATATAATATGCATAATGAGTATTTTAAGTTTAAAATGAACAATAAAAACATCACTATTAAACATAAATAGATATGTTAAATAATCAATTAAGAATACATAGAGAGTAGGCAGATAGAAGAAATAAAGAAATGGATAATTTGAACTTGAAATTTTTTTTCATTTAAAGGAAAGATATTTTTTTTTAAATTAATTATTGATAATTAAACATATTTAATGAAATTAATTATAAGAGTAGGAGAGAAAATTTTCAATTAATATGAATAATTTTAGATAGAAATAAGAAATTCTTGATTAAGGTCGAGTTAAGAATCTTAAAAAACAACTGAAGAGTATAAAATTAAATGCATAAAGATTATGAATAGTAACATTAAGAGCTTTATAAATTTAAAAAAGCAAAATCAGTTTCATAAAAATAATTGTAATAATAAATATAGAATTTAAATTTAATAATAGAACTAAAATTGAATTAATATGAGACAGCTATAGTAAATAATTGAAAAGTTAATCATATAGTATATATTAGAGATTCTTAAAATAAATTTGTTAAGGTATCTTAAGAGAATGAATTAATGAAATTAGAATAGTAGCATAGCATAGATGAATTAGAGTAACATAAAATAATACTAAAAGAGATAGGATAAAGAATAATGTTTGTGACTATTTTAGGGAGAAAAATTAAATGAAGAGAAATAGAAAAAAGATATGGAAAATAAAATAAAATTGAATGAAATAATTAATTGAATAGATGAGGTTTGATCTATAAGCAAAAGATTTAAATATTTACAAAGTATGGATTGAATTATAAGATACAAAGAATATTCTATAAAATTAAGTAGAAGAGGAAAAACAGAAGATTGAATAATAAGTGAAGAGTATGTAGGTTAGTTAAAATGAAGAGTTTGAAAATTTGAAGAAAAAGTTGAATGAAAATGAATTGAACTCAGAATTGGTTCGAATTAAATAATAATCAAACTCTAAATTCAGAATTGAGTATACAGTATAGTGTAGAGATATGATTTAGATTAGAAATTTAAGAATAGAATATTAAATAGATAATAAATGAGTCAGAAATAATTAAACAATTACTATGAAAATTTCAGGTTATAAATCAGTTTAAAAATTGATAATAATTTACAATATAATTATTAACTAAAGAATGAGTATAAAAAGAATATCAATTAGGAACTTACTATCATATAAAGCTGTCGATGTTGAATTAGGAAACAACTTAAACATATTTGTTGGTAAGAATGGAAGTGGTAAGTCTAATTTCGTGAATGCATTGTTATTTGCACTTACAGACAAGTTCGGAAGTTTAGATAGAAAGATGATTGAAAATGTAAGTATTTATTTAATAAACATTATAAAGAATCTAATTTCAGATGAATAGCTACCTATATAAGTTTCTATCACTTTAGATAATGGAAATTAGAGATTGCCTTACAGTACTGAAGAAGTTACAATAATGAGATAAATGACAACAAAGGATGAGTATTTTTTAAATGGAAAGGCATCAACTGTAATTTAATTTAGTAATTTATTACAATGTATTAATCTCTCCCGCTAAAATTACTACAATATTGTTAGATAAGGTAAGATAAGTAGGATCTCATAAATGAGAGATACAGAAGTATTTGAGCTTCTAGAAGAGGTTAGTGGTGTAGCTTTGTATGAAGAAAAAAAATTAGAAACTATGAATAATATAAAATAAGCATAATAAGAAAAAGAAGAGATTGTGAAAATATTAAATGAATTAGGTACTTAAATTAAATAATTACATGATGAAAAGGAAGCATTTAATTAATTAAAAGATATTCAAAAATAAATATAATTACATGAAGTTTAACTATCATTAATATCAGCTAAGAGTTTCTAACATTAATTAGTTGATTTGAATACAGAATAAAGTAGATTACATAATCAATTACAAAGTCTTATACAATAATAATAGGATTATAGTAATGCATAATTCAAAGCAAATAAAGAAATTGAAATGTTTGATTAATTTCTTAGTGAAAATTAGTACAAAATATAACAATTTTAAAAAGATGAATTAAGTATGCAAAAATAATTTGAAGATTTATCCAAATAATTAAATGAAGTTAGAGATAAATTAAATGCTCTTAAAAGTACTAGCAAAACTGCCATCCAAGAAGAATTCAAAACTACTGAAGAAAATCTAGAAAAAGAAATGATAAAAATTTAAGAAAAATAATTTTCTGTAGATAAAGATATTTAATATTTCTAAATCCTTTAAACAGATGATCCAATCAAACGTTTTAAAGATGAAATTCAATCTCTAACTAAATAATTAGAAGGCTATCAAAAAGAATATAAAAATGTTGAATTTAAAATCTCACAAATTACCAAAGAGCTAAATTAATCCAAACAATAAAAGTAGAATCAAATTAATATTGCAGAAGTGTAGAACAACATCAAAAAAACAGAAGATAAACTCTTAAATTTAAGAAAAAAGCTTGAATCTACTTAACTTGATAATATGGAATTACAGAAGACTAAAACTCATTAATAATAAAAGTTATGCAAACTTTAAAATGAATAAGATATCGAATGCAATTAACTAGATAAATAAATGAGAGATATTTTCACATCTTCAATTATTAAAATTATGGAGTTTGCAGAAGAAAAAGGATTAACTGTTTATGGAATATTTGCTTAATTAATGAATGTTAAATAAAAGCGATTATTGCCTCTAATAGAAACTGCTAGTGGCCCTCGTTTATTCAGTTTAATTGTCTCAGATACTCAAACAGCTAAATAAATTATTGATTTTAATAAAGATTAATAAGGATCTGTTTTAAGAATATATCCTCTTGATTTAATAGATGATAGAGTCTCTTCTTTTGATGCTCCAAAAGATACTATCAATTTATAAGACTAAGTTTCATTAAATGGAGATTTTCCCAAAAAAAAGGCACTTATTGCTAAAGTAATTGGTAAATGGATTGCTGTTAAGGATTATCAAACAGCCTTAGATATCTCATCCAAATATGAAATCAATTGTATTACTTAAGATAATGAAGTTGTTTATGCAGACAGTTTCTTAACTAAAGTTGGAGCTACTAAAGTCTAACAAAGTAAAACTATTTCATTATAAAAAATATTGGCTATGAATCAAGAAATTAAAATGTTAACTAAATAAGATTAAGAGATGGAATAATAAATGGAAGAAGACTAAAATAAGTTATTAGAAATTTAAAGGGAAATTTAAAACTCTAAAAATAATTTAAACAATTTAAATCAATAATTACAATCTTAAGATAATGCCACGATTGAAAAAAAATAAAGAGAATTAGATGCTCTTCAATAACTTGCTAAATAATTAGATATTCCAATACAGGATACTAATAATAGGATTAATGATATTCAATTAAAATTAAAAAATCCTAAACAAATTAAAAAGGGATTGAGTGATGAAGATATTAATAATCTTTAAAAATTGGTTAAAGAAAAATAATTACTATCTCAATAAATGACAAATTTGATGAACAAAAAGAACGAAATTAAAATGAGGTAATAAAAGAAGGTTGATGTAAATAAAATTCAACAATTAGAACAATTACAAAATGAATTAAAATAATAAACTGACTAACTCAATTTGTAATTAAAAGGAAAGTAAAAATTTCACTCAGAAATACTCTAAACTTTAAATGAAAATTAAAAAAATTTAGCTTAAGCTATAAAAGAAAGAGATAATGCAAAATTAGAGAAAAGTAAAATAGATTTAAAAATTGATTCTTTAAAAAATTAACAAACTGAATTTGAAATGCAAGCTCAATAGTGTGTTAATTAATTAGAAACAATTGAAAAAGATAAAAGATTGATTGATGCATTTAGTGAGATAGATGAATAATAATCCAAAAATTAAATTATTAAAAAGATTAAAGAACTTAAAACAAAGTTTAATCATAAATTTACTTAAAAAGATTAAAGTTTGTTTGAAAAATTAAATGAAATTGAAACACGATTCTCAGATTATTAACAAAAACTATAAAATTTAAAATAAATTTAATAAGATTTTGATAATCTATGTGATGTGATGGATAAGAAAGCAGAAAGTTTATTGTAAGACTAATTATATAAAAAATTTGCTGAATATTTTAGACATTACTTTTTATAAATTGTTACCACAGGAGAATGTTAAATTAAATTAATAAAAGGTTTGAGAAAGAATAACAAAAAAAATTGGGGAATAGACATTAAAGTGTCATTCAAAAATAAAGAAGTTTAGAATTGGACATCCTTTTCTAGTGGTGAGAAGACCATAGTTGCATTTGTCATTTTAATTTCTTTATAAAAATGCGATCCAGCTCCATTTTACATTTTAGATGAATTTGATGCTGCTCTTGATGATAATTTTAGAAATCAAGTAGCTTAAATAATTTTGAATTTGTCAAAAGAATCTTAATATATAATTATTACATTTAGACCTGAACTTATAAATTTGAATAGTGATTTGGTGACATTTTACAAAGTATCTCATCACAATTAATAAAGTTCAGTAATTAAAACAACTTAATAAGAAGCAAAGAAAATACTCAAAGCTTGAAGTTATGAATAAATTTTTAGCTAAAATATCCTTACAAATTTTCCTTTATTTAAAATTTTTTTCTTATCATAATTTTAAAATATCATCACTTCTTCTGGTTATTATTCTTATTTCATCTGTACTTTCTTGAAATAGGTTTTAAATCCACTTTAACTATTTTTCATTGACAAATGATTTTTACAAAGCTATCCCTTAGATTTCTAACAGAGAATTATTATAAAATAGATTATTTTAAGAAAAAGAACTTTGACTGTTAATAGACTGATTTAAGACTGATATAATTTTTAATTTTAATAGTTTTTTATAAATTATATTATTATATGTTCATACTACCCACTATTATAATATTTCGATCTCCTCTTAAATATTTTTTCGAGCTTTTTCTTCACTTCTCAAATTAAATATTTTAGATTATAAAAATTTTTATAAAACAGCAATTCTACCTATTTTATATTCTTTATCAGGGAAATGTGAATATTCCATTCTTATATCTTAAGCATATATAGGATATGCATCAGACTCTAAAATAGACATATCAGCATCCAAAAATATCATTAAATCTGATAAATCATTTTCTGGTAAGAATGGAACATCAGTTTAATGACTTTTTGTTTATAAAATAAAAATAGAAATAACTTCTGAGTCTAATTTACATTCTTATGCAAATTATTAAAATAAAAAGCAACTTTTTTCTTCATTATCATGAATTTTAGGATAATAAATAACATCATGAAAAAAGGTTGCCAATTTAACGTTCTAAATATTTTTTGCTCCTTTTAACTATTTTAACATATCATAGATATGTCTTAGTGTATGGTAATGCCTTTAAGGTTAAGAATAATAATCAACCAAAATGGATTCAAACCAATAAAGATTATCACATACAGATAACCATTAACTTTTGAGTTCCAGATATTCATATTCGGTTAATCTATTTTTAGTTTAGATATATTCTCTAAATTAAGTTGATGATATTTTTGCATCTACTTAATGAGTCTAATTTTCTATCATTCCAACAATATATCCCTCTAATTAATTCAAATTCTATTCCTTCCTAAGATTATTGATATACTATAATGATTGTTAAGTTTCTTATGTAGCAATTAATACTTCATATTATCCATTTTTGGTTGGTCCTGCAGGTTCAACCAATTCAGAAAAATATAATTCAATATCAGGTCGAAACATTATACAAAATTCTTTTACACATCGACAACGAGTTTCATAAGATTATAAGAAACTCTTTAATTTCTTCTTTTATAATAATATATCTCCAGTTATCCCTATAGTCAAATGTTAACTAATTGCTAGCAAACTTAAACTTAGAAGAATTTTATGTCCAATATGTAAATGATCAAAAGTACCTCCATTTGCGCCTCTTTGAAATTAATTTACTTTATATGATTCTTAAGAAAATTAGATCTGTTAATTTTAATGATTTACTTTAAGTTGAATATTGAAATCACCTTATAATTAAGTACCTAAATTAATGATCAAATCAAATTTGTAATTCTTAGTGAATTACTTATTAAATGTATCAAAAATAACACTGAATCTAGTAGGATAATGTTATGCTTTATCATATAGATGGAATAAAATTTTTTCATAAACTTTTAGATATGTGATTGGTGATCCTACTAAATAAAGAACTATTTCTTCTTAATTAGTTTTAAGGTACTCCTCTATTTTATGATCTAAATCCTAAAATCCAATAAATTCAAATGGACATAGGATTAATAATTTAGCATGATGTTTCATTATTAAAAATGAATAAAAATCAATCAGCTCATTATATCACAAATAACTAATCATACGGTGATGGTTGGTTATTACATTAAGGATAACAACAAGTAGATATGACATCATGTCCTGTACCAACATATGCTGAAATTGTACGTCAAATGCAAGTGAGAATTCTATGATTAATATTAATAGGACTTTAGAAGAGCTGAAAAATTACTAAAAAATAAACTAGTTGCTCAAACTATTGGACTTGAGATATCTTAACCAATTTCTGAAGAAGAAAAATAACGTAGGAAATTAGATAACAAAGTCCCTTCAAAGAAGTTTCATGTAACAGAATAAGAGTACAAGGCTCCTCCGTAAGGAATAAATGTTGGTAAAAATATTTAATTAATTTAAGGATTACCAATCTATGAAACTTCTAATATGTAATATGGACAGTTAAATCCATCATCATTTGAATTGATTGAGAAATATTATCCAAGAGATGCTCGTTTCACTTAAGCCTTTTTGGGAGAGACCCACAAATTTGATGGGCTGAACACAAGCACAGCCTTCTCAAAAGTTCATAAAAAATTAGATGAATATTGACAATTTAAGATCATATTTGCGATTGTTTTCTCAATTAATTCATTCTCCTAATGACGCTTTATCTCCAATTTTTCATTTGAGCCACTTCTCCTAGTTTAGCTGCTTAGAAATCACTAATTTAAATTCAAAAACCAATTTACTTTTTAGTAATAGAAACATACTATTTCTAATATGTAGGTGTTTATGAATAAGGAACTAATTTACTAATTGAATCTAATGGAGATTAACTGTAAATATCTCTTTATTTATCGAAAAAGATTCCAGATGATTGAATTGGATTTCTAGTTGTAATAACGACATTATATACAATTTTGAATAAATGTTTTTACAATTTGAAGGTTATTCTATTGGCTAAGGCCATTAATATTCTGTTTTATATAATGTCTAATTAGATAGAGATAGTCCTCCAGTTGTTAACAGTCTCGATGCTATTAATTTTTCAGGTTTTTAATTAGTCTAAAAATCAAAATGATTCGCCTAATTAATATTTATACACTCTCATACTTTATATGTTGTTAAAGTAGCGAATTTTAAATCATTTTTCTCGTACTTTCTTCTTTCTAACTTAGGATTATAATCTTTTGGTGGATATGCTGAATATTGACTTTTATAACTGGTCTTTGAAAATTCAGAAGTTTAAGGAGATTTATAATCTTCATAAATAGTATTTTTTATTATTTCTTATCTATCTTTCTATTTATGTGGAAAATCACGTCCATATTAACTTTACCATTTTTTTGGCAAAATAAATTTATTCATGTTAAAATCTCCATGCATTTATTCCTATAGATACAATCCCAATAAATAATAAAAATAATCTTTATTGTCTTCGAGAAGTTACTCTACTGATGATCCCTATAACACTTCTTAAGGAATTATTTCTAACCAAATTGGATCTGTTGCAGGAATATCAGGGAGTAGTTCTTCAAATAGAGATGAATTTGTTTAACAACTCACTGAATTACTTTGCTGAGGGGTTGCTATTAGAGTTATTGGATTGTGTTAGGATTCTGATCTTGCTATTTATTACTTAGATGAAGGCTATTATAATTATTAACTTTTTTATTATGTAGATGTAGCCATCTCTTCTATACTGCAAATCGAAAGAGCTTTATTTCTTTTCTTAAGTAATGTTGTTTTTCGAGAGAACCTAGGAGCAAGAAAAGAACTATTGTTTGTTGACAACACCTATTTTATTTGATCAGATAACATATATATCGTAATTATATAATAATATATATTATAAATTCAATATCTACATACTCTCTTCATATTCCCAATCAATTATTTAAATTCAAGTATTTTATGTTCAAATAACTTAACTTACTGTCTATTAAATCATTAACTTTTTATAATTTTTATAATCATATTAACCAAAAAATACTTTTAAATTTTCCAAGCTCACTTATTTTCAAAACATTTTTACTCTCTATACGTAAAATAATAGAAATTTCTTTGGATATTAATAACAGTTAATATTAAATACTTGAAGGTCAATATTTTGAAAAAAAATAAATAAAAATAATGATATTCTTATAATAATTCTAAGAAAAGAATATTATTTAATTATAAAGTATTATATTTACAATCGCAAAATATCTTCAATCAAATTTAATTTCTTTTTAAGATACTCCAATTTATAAAATTTTTTAATACTTTCTCCAAGTTTGACGTTTAAGTCTCAAAATTTTTGTTTTTATTGATTGAGATTCATTATAGAAATTATTGCATTTTTTATACAAATCTTCAAATCTTTAAGAACTAAAGTTATTCTCAGATTCCTAAAACGATTTAATGGCAGTAAATTTAATATTATTCAGATTAATTTTTTTATCTACTGTAAATTCTTTAATTATGTGATTATTTCTATCAATAGGTTCTGTGTGAAATTTTTAAGAAGCTTTCATATTTTATTGGAATATAAATTATTTGATAGAGTTATTTCCTTGATATTTCAATTAACTATCAAAAATTCTTCTCTATAGCATATCTTTTCGATAAATTTCTTTTTCATATTCCTCTCTTATTTTATTTTTATATTATTAAGTAAATTCATCTCCTTCAATTTCTATTGCCCTTAAATCAGTTATAGATTGCCTTGTTTTAAGGATTTCTTAAATTGGATCAGACAATAAATATAATTTATCTTCTTTAGTTAGTGATTTACGATTATTTATAAAAGATGAATGATTATCAAGATTAGTTTTACTGTATAGTTTTTCTGTTATAATTGGTTCAACAAGTGAGATTTATTTTGTTTGTAATGAACTTATTGATTAGTACATTAAATTATTTTTTTGTGAAATTTTTGTTATGTCAAAATTTTTTTCGATTAACTTCAATCGATTGTTGATAATGTCAACATAATCATTAACCATCTTTTGATTATAGATTACTTTATCAGATTTTCTAGGAGATATTTTAGATTAAAACAGAATATTAGTTTAATATTTTTGAGAGGTTTTCATATTTAGTTTGATAGGCTTTTCATGAGCATCAAAGATGACTTAATGCTTATAATTCATCGTTTTCATTTCTTATAGTTGAATAATAAATAAACTATTATTATTATCACTAATGAAATCATAGCTCATTACCATTGGATAGGACATTCAAAATTTAGAAGAGAGCTAAGTATATTAAAATTAAATACCTGATCCAACAACTACAAAAAGAAATACTCCTAAAAGTATAGGGCCCATTGCTGCAGCTTCCTCAGTTTTCTTAAATAAATATAAATAATTACCATTAAAGATTTTGGTACTTTACCTTGTTTATTGATATTGTTTCTATTAATCTTATTTCTTAATTTCATAGTTTAGGCGGATGGCTAAGTTATTACATCACAATAATACCATTTAGATAAGAATTAATGTTTATTAAATATTACTTGATTTGACATATACAAAAACATGTATACATATAAATTGCTTAATAAAACAAAAATAGCATAATAATATAAATAATCTAAAATATCACATGTCTAAAATATGTATAAATTCTTATAACAATAAAGTTTATTTGAAATATATATATTTTCTGCATAATCAATTTTAAACATCAAGACTATCTTTTTAATTCCATTTGATTAGAGGAACGACTTAAACTTATATAAATACTTTGAATTGCTAATTAATACAATCTTGAATCATAAAAGTTTCAAGAAAGTAGCGAATTGAAAATAAATAGATAATGGAAGAATTATGTAAAATAAAATCAATAGGATATTAATATAAGCCTATATTTATGTAAATTCTATAATTAATACTCCATAATTATTAGTATCTTAAATTAATTCATTATATATGTTTCAGATCAAGAAGATATGTTTTTTAATAATTATATTAACTAACAATGTCTTGGGATGCTTATGTAACAAACTTGACAGCCAATGGCGCACTCGAATATGCTGCTATCATTGGAACAGATGGAAACATTTGGGCAAGTAATTTTGGTGTTGCTGCTTTACCTTCTTATTAAACAGAAGTACCCGATGAGAAAAATCCAGACGCAACAACCAAAGTTGCTTATGATGAAAAGGCTGCTTTTGTTCATGCTCTTACTCACAATGGAAATTCAGGAAATCCAGCTGGTGTTAGAGTCAACAATCAAAAGTATTATTCAGTCTAATTTGATGGAGAATCCAAGACCTGGTACTTAAAGAAGGTATATAACATTATAAATTATCATAGAATAAAGGTGGAGCTTGTGTTGCTTGGTCTAATACAGTTGCTGTCTTTGCTTCATTCTCCCAAACCATCAATGCTGAAAATGGTGCTCCATAGAATGCTAGCGATTGCAACAAACGTGTCATTGATATGGCAAAGTACCTTGCTGATTCTGGATATTGAGTAGTTATGTTCACACAAACAATTATTAACATGTTTCTTTTAATCATTCTCTTTCTAGAATATACTTTAAGAAACAAAACGTGGTTAATTACTTCAATTCTACACTTCTCTCTGTATTTATTTATTCCTTCAAAACGTCCCTCCTCTTTTCAAAGAAATAAAAAATTATACTCAAACATGGATACTTCTGTTCTTGCTTAATTAACATATTTCACCAAAGTGCTTTTTAATTTTTGCNTATAAATTGCTTAATAAAACAAAAATAGCATAATAATATAAATAATCTAAAATATCACATGTCTAAAATATGTATAAATTCTTATAACAATAAAGTTTATTTGAAATATATATATTTTCTGCATAATCAATTTTAAACATCAAGACTATCTTTTTAATTCCATTTGATTAGAGGAACGACTTAAACTTATATAAATACTTTGAATTGCTAATTAATACAATCTTGAATCATAAAAGTTTCAAGAAAGTAGCGAATTGAAAATAAATAGATAATGGAAGAATTATGTAAAATAAAATCAATAGGATATTAATATAAGCCTATATTTATGTAAATTCTATAATTAATACTCCATAATTATTAGTATCTTAAATTAATTCATTATATATGTTTCAGATCAAGAAGATATGTTTTTTAATAATTATATTAACTAACAATGTCTTGGGATGCTTATGTAACAAACTTGACAGCCAATGGCGCACTCGAATATGCTGCTATCATTGGAACAGATGGAAACATTTGGGCAAGTAATTTTGGTGTTGCTGCTTTACCTTCTTATTAAACAGAAGTACCCGATGAGAAAAATCCAGACGCAACAACCAAAGTTGCTTATGATGAAAAGGCTGCTTTTGTTCATGCTCTTACTCACAATGGAAATTCAGGAAATCCAGCTGGTGTTAGAGTCAACAATCAAAAGTATTATTCAGTCTAATTTGATGGAGAATCCAAGACCTGGTACTTAAAGAAGGTATATAACATTATAAATTATCATAGAATAAAGGTGGAGCTTGTGTTGCTTGGTCTAATACAGTTGCTGTCTTTGCTTCATTCTCCCAAACCATCAATGCTGAAAATGGTGCTCCATAGAATGCTAGCGATTGCAACAAACGTGTCATTGATATGGCAAAGTACCTTGCTGATTCTGGATATTGAGTAGTTATGTTCACACAAACAATTATTAACATGTTTCTTTTAATCATTCTCTTTCTAGAATATACTTTAAGAAACAAAACGTGGTTAATTACTTCAATTCTACACTTCTCTCTGTATTTATTTATTCCTTCAAAACGTCCCTCCTCTTTTCAAAGAAATAAAAAATTATACTCAAACATGGATACTTCTGTTCTTGCTTAATTAACATATTTCACCAAAGTGCTTTTTAATTTTTGCATTCCAGTCAATTATTTAACCAAAATACATTCATAATTCCATTTCTACGGCTTTCTCCCTTTAAACAAATATGACGGCTGAACAGAAAATAAGTTTATCATTCCTAATATTTTTACTATTTTTGAATTCAATATTAATAGATCAAGCTAATCCAAACTAATTTATTGTTCTAGAGCTTTTTTTTTATCAATACTTGATATTACTTCATAAAATCATTATATTCACCAAATTTTTCACCTATTTTTCTTTTTTTGTTTTCAGTTTTTATTGGAACTATGAAGGATTATGTTATTAAATTTTATATGGATACTCTTTATTAGAAGAGTCTTATTAGATTATTTTTAATCAACTTCAATACAAATTTTAATTTAGAAAAGTAGTTTTAAGCATTTTTTTTGAATTCAAATTAAACATAATCAACCCCAACATCAATGTATATAGTTTAGATCAAATATTGTTAAATGATATTGCAAAAAAAAATCAGATAATCTTGATTTGTATTTTATTAAATTTTTTAGGGTATATATATAAAATTAACCAGATACTAGTACTTTTTGTTTTCTTTTAGCATTGAATCTGCCAAAGCAACATCTTTTGTGAAAAAGTTAATTATTAGTATTATAAATTTTTATATTATTTAATATTATATAAATATCATCATTATAATGATATTCAACACAAATAATTTTTTGGCTTTTTAAGAAAAAATTAAAAAGCTATGAGAAATGGCAAATTATAGAATAGAAATCATAATTAGAACTTAGGAACTTGAAAAAAAAATATCTGTTAATTCATAATTTAATTATATGATTTGATAAATGTATTTTAATAATATTTTTCTACAATGAATTGGTGTAGGTATAATAGTGTTAAATCTTCAAAATTTCATTTTATTCAATCTAATATAATTTAGTTATGGCTATTTACTTTATTTGTAGATGAGACATCCATTCTCTTGTGATAATTTAATACTGACAAAATTATCTGACAATATAAATTAAGCAATTACTGATTAAAGACTTAAAACAATTTTTAAATTATGATTAAGGGTATCATCATCTGAAATCTCAAAGCATAATAGGCTATGAAATGAAATACCTGATTAATATATGAATTTTTTTGATTAGTTTAAGTTTAATAAGAATATTGAATAGATTGATGGATTTGTAAAAGTATTGCTATGATAGAAAAGTTGATAAAATAATGAATTATAATAATGGTGTTGCTGAATGATGAAAATATATAATTTAAATCATTTGACTTCAACAATGTCTGCTCTAGTAGTTTCAGCAACAGCTGCAGCTTCGGCAATGACCTCAGCAGGAACACCCATCTCTTTCAAAGTGTCTCCAAGATGTTTAACAATGGTATTAAAAGCTGCTGTGGTAATTCCAAGTCCAGCATGACCTGCTTTCATGTCCTAGATTTCTTAAATATGAATATATTACTCTTCCTTTATAGTTATTAGGTCCTCCAAAGGCCATAGTAAGGAACTTTTGTTGCATTTCTGTTTATTTCTTCATGTCTGTGTTTTTGAAATAGTGACTAACAGATGGATCTGAAAGAACTTTTTGATAAAACTTGACAACAGCAGCATCAATATTAGCTTATCCTCCTAATTTATCAAAGATGGTCTTATTTTGCATTGCTAAATTTAATTAATGATTTGAAATGAAAAATTTGTTCGCTTAAAAATAGCAAATAAAATAAAAAGATATTTTTGGATAACCAAAATTATTTATAAATTAATTTTTATATATCACTATTCATCATTTTATAAAAAATCATTAATATGAGTGGTATTTGATTTGCGAAGCATTCCATTTTATACTTTTAGGTATTTATTATCTGATTATAGCTCTAATGGGGCAATAGCAGTATTAAAAAGACTTTTTCTAGCAATGCCTTTAATTTTCATGTCTTAAATATTATATCCCTCATCACCATCACTAGAGCCTGCTTAAAGTCCCCTATTTAAAAGGATAGTTCTTTATTTTAATTTATTAGAGTTTCTAGAAGAGAGATGAGAAATATTTTTATTAATAGTAAGATGTCTTAAACTTTTTCTTACAATTATTTCTGCAAACCATGGATGATTAAGTGCTTCATCTGGATGTGGTCTAAGAGCTGGATCTTTTTGTAATAATTATTGAATTAAATCTTTAGCTTGACTAGATACTTCTTAGAAAGTTTCTTCAGGAAATTCATATTTGGCTTCCTTTATTGATTCAATTAAATCATTTAAACTTATAATATTAAATTATAATATTTACTAATCTGCATTGAATGGCAATTATCCTGATAACATTGAATATAAAATACAACCTGCACTCCACATATCAACCATTTAACTAATTAAATTAAATTTATTACTTATATCCTTCACCAGTAAATATTTCTGGTGCCGAAAATGCTACTGTTCCTGTATAGGTCCACATTTCTATCTTTTCAGTATCCTAAAGATTACCAAACTCTTTGTAAGAATCACTAAATTTACTCACATTGAAATCAGTGACTTTTATCAGTTTTTTATCTATTTCATAAATTCTACTAACACATACCTGAAACACATAAAATATTATTAGGTTTTAAATCTCTATGACAAATGCCATTTCTATGCATATATTCAATAGCACTAAGTAATTATTTGAATAATTCCTTTGCATCATGTTCACTATAATGTCCAGTCTCATTTATTACTTCGAACATCTCTTTACCCTTTATAAGCTCCATAATCACATAAGCCTAACTTTCAGATTAGAATCCATTATCGAAATCTAAATACATTTTATATGCTTTAACTATATTGCCATGCGATAATTTTATTAGTCTCTTAAATTCATTAATCATCTAAACATTTTCATAAATCAATTACATTTCTAATTATCTCATCATCTTAGGTAGCCACAATTTTTACTGCAAATTCTTGTCCTGTTCTTTTCTAAACAACTTTCTTTACTAAACCTAAACAACCTTCACCTAATCTTTCATGCATCTCATACTCTTCAAAAAACTCTTTTGTGTTTGGTACAATGTTTTCAACATCGCTTGGAGTTATTTCAATATCCAATTTTTTACCTAATTCAAATAATTGTTCTTCTCTTATTTATAGAGATTGAATAGGTTTATTTATTATATGATTCAGTTAACCTATGCTTTATACAACCATTTACATCTGAATTGTTATTTTATTCGATTCATATTGTTTTGAATTACTTCTTTTTGTTCTTCAGCTTACGTCTTCACAAATGTAAAACGACCACTACATTTTTTCTCCATCATCGATAATCGTGGTGGAATTCTTAATGTATCTTAAGGACTTCGTTCTAAAACTTGATCATCTTTCATTTTACTTTGGTAATTATATAATATATGATTGTATAACAATTGTATCATATTAAGAAAATATTAGATGTCAAACAAAAATACTATTTATTAAATTATTGGTAAAGTATCTCCATTGATTCATCTCTTCAAAGGTAAGCATATTTATTCTATTTACAGAATTAATATACAATTTAAAATAAACCATGATGTTTTTATTTAATAAAAATTTATTATCTTTTCAAGTAATAATATCTTATAAACATACTTCAAAAGAGTTGTAATTTATTTTATTATATTTTGGAGATAATTTTGAATTAAATAAAATCCTTTATATGATCTTTTTTATAAATTTTACTCATTAAAAATAATTGATTAAGTGGAATATACGACAAAATTAATAAAGAAAAATTCTAAATAAGATTACAATATTAGATTTCTTATAAAATCGATAAAATCGTTCAATTTAAATTGATAAGACAGATAATAATAATATTCATTAAAGAGAGTGAGATATACTTTACAACCAATAAAAATAAAAGATGTTTAGAATTTATTAGTTACAATTTTATACTAAATGATTTTCTATTACCTGAATTTCTTATTAAATAGTATTCTTAAGAGCAAGCATTTTAAGATTAAAATAAAAGATAATAGAATCATATGAGAAATGATTCATTTTATCTGTAAATTTTTTGAGATTGAGATTGAATATAAAAATTAAAAAATGAAGAGATATTAAAGATGATTAATTAATAAAATATAAATAATCATCTACATCAAACCTCTTACCTCTCTCCTTTAATTATTTACTATTTTTATCAATAAAGATTGCCTCTCCATGTAAAATCCATTTAAATAAAATCCTTTATAGATTCCAGCATCAGGTCAATAGAATTCTCCATATCAATCTTTATTATTATCCTCATAACTCCCCTAATAAAATAGAGAAAGATACTCATATATTTTTTAAAATCTTCCCATGTCATAATTCCTTTGTAATACAAATGACGATTATATTTCTTATCCATAAAATTAATTATTTTAAAATCCTATTCAGAAATAATATATTTTCAATTTCTTTAGCAATTTTTCCATTACCATATCTTGTTCCTCTTTTATCAAGAAATTAATAAGATGAAAATGTTCTAACTAATATCCCTAATTATTATAAAGAACTTATGAAATTGTATGATGGAGAAACTCAGTATCATTCTTTTTTGGTATTGCTAGATCTTTTAAAGGATGAAAAGATTCCTCAATTTTGTTTTTTCTGTTTTTTTATCATTTTTTCAATATTTATTTCCTAATTGAATTACTTATATATAAAGTGTATATTTTAGTTGAGGTAAATCACTTTTTATTTCATAAGTTTAAATTTGTATTTGTTATTCATACTCTTATACACCATCTTCAATTAGTTAAGTTTTATAAATTGTATTTCTAGCAGTCTCAATCAAATTATATATTATAAAATTAAATATACGAAATTATCATTTCTTTTTTCCTTTTACCCATTCTCCTTCAATTACTCTACCATTTGACTCTATAAGTTATCCTTTGCCATGCATTTTACCGTTTTTCCATTCTCCTATATATTTTTATCTATTTGGCCAAGTTTATTCTCCCTTACCATTTCTCTTATCATTCTCAAACTCACCTATTATTATCATTAAAATTTATAAACCTTTATATGTTTTACCATCAGAATATAATTATCCTTCACCTTACATATTCCCTTTTATCCATTATCCTTTGTACCAATTACCATTACTCCAATAAAACTCACCATAACCATTAAATGCATCATTCAAAAATTCTCCATCATAATAAGAATTATCACTCCATCTAAAAATACCTTTACCATTCTTCATTCCATTCTCAAAATGTCCTTAAAATTATGAACCATTCTCAAATGATATAGCACCTACACCATGCTTTTACTTATTAATCATTCATACTGGTAATCCATCTTTCAATTCTCCACTATATACTCCTCCATCTGGGAATACATACTAATCTCCAACTACTTGGCTAGTTTAACAACAAGAACCCATTAAACTTTAATTAATTTTATTTCAGTTGATATTTCATTTTTAAATTGAGAATCTCCACCAATCAATTTCTTCACTCAATATATTACTTTAATTCAGTATTCTGATATCTCTCTCATATTCTCCTCCTCCATTTCTTATTAAAATAAAGTCTTTTTTATTGTTGATAACTCCTATTATTTTTTAAGAAATTATTTACCTTATTTATCTAATTTATCTCTTAATCTTATCTACCTAAATGATATCAATAACATCTATTCATTTTTAAAATTTTCTAACTCCATAGTAATGTATCATCCTTGTTTTGTCTTGTGAACCATTTTCTTCTACAAACAATAGATCTTTGTCATTTATTCTGAATCAGTAACTTAAAATTACCTTCATTAGATTTTTCGACTTTTCTATCAAAGGTTGGCTTTCAACATTTCTTCTCTTCATTCTTTAGTAAAATTATTTATCTCTCCTTCCAAATCTCTAATTGAATTTTGCTTCTTTAAATACCTTAATTTTCCTTAAATAATCTGTTTTATGTTTCAACATGTGGGTATGACTTAGATCACATAATCAATAAAGACAACTTAAAATTCACCAAAAAGTTCTTTGTCTTTAGTTTAAAAGTAGACCAACTTTAATTTTCTAAATTTTGATTCCTTTCTTTAGAACAATTTAAGTTAATGTTTAATTCTTAAAGATTTCTAAGAAGATTCTAATGTAAAATAGATAAATAAGATCTTTTGTTTTGAATAGTTATGATATTGTCTAATTTTATCTCTTGATTCTAAGAAAAAAAGAAACACTCAAGAGCTGTTTGGAATCTAAGACTTTTATACACTCTATTTTAGGTATGGCTCACTATATTGATTAATATTCAAAATCCATATTAGTATCTGTGCGAAATAAATATTTATTATACCATCATTTCTCTCTAACAGCTTTTTCTTTAGATTTTATCATTTTTATCCTTTTCTTATTTTAGTTACATGTAATTACTTACATCTTTAGGAAGTAAGTTTTTGAATATTTCAAAAAGATGCTTTTCATCCTTATATATAGCTTTAATTGTTCACTCAAATTCTATAGAGCTTTTCCAAATCCTATTTTTTAATGCGATTTAATGAAGAATGTATCAACAAATGATACTTAAATTCAATAACATCCCTTTAAAATTATCATTTAGAATATCTAAACATTACTTATTAAATCATATAACGATTTAAATACTCTTATAATAGCCATTTTAGTTTAAACCTTATATTAAGTTACAGACAATGCTTTTTCGTATTTTTAATCTTATCAGAGTCTTAACTTATAAGGTCTAATTATCGACCTTTTGTTATGACAGTTTTTAGATTGAATCCACTAAACAAATTCCTTACATTAAATTAATCCACTTCCTTTACAACAAGAAAATCTTGTTAATATGGCTATTTGTTTCTTTCGACTAGATTAATAATTCTATTAATATAAAATATAGAGAACGAAAAGAAAATATTTTAAATTTGTTCACCAATATTCCTTACATTATTCATATTTTGAAGATAAAAAGAAATCCTCCAATGAGTTCCAAGCACCAAAGACAGTCTTTTGTTAATCAATGATCAAAAAATATAATAGATTGCAAATAGAATCACTTAAATTTAAAACTGAATATTTAGATTGAAGAGATTTAACAATAAAGATAATATCTTATCTAAGTTAATTATTAATAAATTAATTTACATGAATAATCTATAGCATTCTTTTTTAAATAATTTAACTAATAAAACTCTTATGAAAATTTAAGTATTTTAATTTCTTCCTTCTAAAATTAAAAATTGAAAGTTATACAAATAATTTTTAAGATTTAATAAAATTCAGATTTTCTATGTTTTTTGCAAAATTTAATAATCATTTTAACAATTAATTACAAGTTTCAAAATTGTTAGGCTATCTAAATATAAAATGTTAAACTCTGAACTATGTTTTAAGAAAAATTTTACGATATATGTATTATACTTAGGTTTGATTATGTTCGTTTACTTTTAATTTATTTCATAATACTTCATTTATTATCATATAAAATACTAATAATAATTAGCTTCATCCTCAATGAGAGTATTTTTATTGTTAATCATTAATTCAATTTAAACTAATAATTATAAAGTAAGAATAATTGATAGGAATACTTAAAAATCAGAATTTCATAAACATTTTCTTTTAATTGTAAAAAAATCTAATAGTTAAGCAAATTTAAATATATGAAAACTAATAATGAAAAATTTAAATTTAAATGTAGTTGATTCTAATAATAATTATTTAATTGTTTATATTATTTTAATTTATAATATTTTTATAAATTAATCTATTCCTTTTAAAAAATTTAAATAGAAAGAGTCTATTAGAAATAATAAAATTAGGATTTCAATTTTCCATGAATACTATTAAAAACTTTGATTTAAATGAAAATTTGAGTAGCATTGATAATGTAGAATATTTATTCACATATTCTTTTATTAATTAAATAAATTTTATTTATGCTCTTAGACAATGTTATTGATTTAACTGATAAAGTTATTTCACTAATGAAATATTTTGCTGATGATTCCAGATTGGATATAAATCTTATAATAGGAATTATTTGTAGATTTATCATTTAAACTTGTTTGATATTGTTTTGGGATTTATTCTAATTTACTACAGGGTAGATTGTTATTTGGATTTTTGTATGGCTAATTTAACATATCCATATATGGTGTTTTGAGAGATGTTATTTTAGAGAAGGAGGATGTAATTTTTTTAGTAGAGATATATTATATAAAATTATGGATTCTCTACAACTTTTATTAGGAATAATATTTTTTGCAATAAATTTAAATTATGATAAAGACATAATATTATTGACTTTATTTTCAATCATATTTCTATGGGATTTGTATTTAATCATTTAAAAATTCAAAACAAAGGAAGTCTGTATAAAAGACTATAAAAAGGAAGGTGGTATATATTAATGTTATATTGGATTTTTATTAGGGGCTGTTGGCATTATTATTTTCTTTGTGTATCTTAATATGAAATTATAAGACATAATTATTGATGGTGTTACTATTATCAATTATTCAATTATATTTATTGTTGGTTAAATAATATTAGTGGTAGAATCAATCATATTAGTTTATCAAAATAGATATGTTTTGAGCTGGAGTAAAGATTGGGCTAAAGGAATTTTAGGATTTCTTTATGGAGTTCATGTAGGAATTTTCAGTATCTTTTATGGGTTTCTTATTGGATTATATTTATTCATACGTTTTTTTTGGAAGCATTGTCTAAATCAACCTTGTGATGATAAAGAAGATTTGAATACCTTTAAATAAAGTTGTGTAAATGGCTTAAAAAAAAAAAATTAGAGAGATGAAATAGCGCAAATTGAAAATAAAATACCGGAAATAGAAGAAAATGCCTAAATAGTTTAGTAAAAATAGGAAAGTGAAGGAAATGATTAATTATGAAGAGAATCAATTTTATTAATTTATTGAATTAAACAATTGTTATGGAATTTAAATACTATTTATAAAAAAATTATCATAACTTAACAAGTTAATATAATATAAAGAAATTTTACTATTTTGACCATTCTTTAATTTAGTTTTATTAAACCTGCTAATTCCATTTTTCATTTTTCATACAGCCAATTAATATTTTTCTATTCCTTTATTAGTTTGAAAATATTTATCAAATAATATTTTTAAAATCTTTTAGAAAATAAAAATTATATATTGGACTTCTAAATTTCAATGTACAAATTTTAAAAAGAGTAAGTTAACTATTAAACTTATATCTACATAGATAATATGATAGGAGGTTTTAAATCATTTGTAACATTTTTTGAGGTCTAACAAAATACAAAAACTGAGTAATCATTTCTAGAATTTAAAAATGAATTATTGCAAGGGAGGGGAACATTTTATATGATATAATTAATATATATAAATTTATGATATACTACATATGTATCTATGTATTCTATAAATTCCATCATGTTAAACTAATTATTTATTATTCAAATCAAGTCTACTCAATAATTTATTATCATATTATGAATTAATATTTTAATAATAATTATTATTATTCTGATAGATATAATGTTTAATGATTATGAAAAA